TTCATAAAACCTTAAAGGGGGGGGGGTGCGGGGATGAGACAAGTTGGCTTTAATATAAAATAGGGGGTTTGGCGACCACAATGACGGTGACGCCACTTAATATCGGAGCGCGGTATTCGAAAACGAGGCTCGTCAACTATGTCCCAAAAAAAAAACTGGTGCTACAGGATTTTGAGCCAGTGTTAAAAGATAGGGAATTTCCTAAAATGTACCGACTTTCAACTGCTTGCAATCGGTAACCCCGCAAAAAATCGAGTCAAATTTTAGGTATTCCGACGTGAATTTGGCCGCTCTTTTCATTTATATAGGTTGACGCTTCAGAAAATGTCTCAGTTTTGTGTAAAATAACAATTTGCCCCAGTTTTTATTTCGGATTTTTGCGCTGCGATAGGGAGTCGGCTGATTCACTCAACCGTAACGAGCTGGTAACGATAGCCAACAGACGTACAAGGAAATCATCGCGAGAGAAAAATTGAAAGGGTCTTTGATGCGTTATGGCGGAAAATTTTAATATAAGACGAGAGAGAGAAAAACAGAGAAGAAATGCTTATGCCTTTGAACCTGTTCTACAACAGGATCCACAACAACAGCAATTTCAACGACAGCCTTCTAGTAGTAGTAGGCCTAGGCTTAGCAGGTTAAACAATACTGACTGGTGCAGATGTGGAAACTGCAGGCCTATGCCGAAAGAAAAAGAATGCCTTTGTTGCCATGAGGGAGAGGATTTCAGTGAAAAGATGACAGACGTCGATTGCATTTTGAAGAATGAATCCTTCAAAAAGGTCTGTTTGGACAAGGAGATTTTAGAAGTGGTGTTTGCCTCCAGAAAAGAACTGCTTGGAGAGGGTATTAATCACGATGAGCTTAATAACAGGTTTGTTACCCAACGACCATCCATATTGTTTGTTTACCTAGGGCCTGCTCGAGAGCCTACCTAGGCGTAGGGGAGTAGGGCCCTAGCCTAGACAATCCAAACCTGGCATAAGTACTATAAATAATAGTGCTATTAGGCTGGGCGTAGTATTTAATCTACGTACCCTATCTATAGGCCCTAAGTCATAACAAACTCTCATAAATTATTTCCAACATTAGACACACACAATTAGCCTAAGATTTGAAGGACAGAGGGGCCTATTTACAATTTAATGAGCTGTGCATGGAATAGGCTATCCGAATGCGATCCTCTACCCAAACATTCGGCCTTCAATAAGGGCTGATTTCCGCGCATATTTTGCCGAAAATTAAGCTTCGATCTAATGTTATTATATAACCAATGTATATGCAGAAGTTAGTATTTTTCCGGCGATTTCCAGCGCAAATTTGGCATCATCTGCGCAATACTAGTAACTAACTATCTACTCACTAGGCCCAACTCCCTGCTTTCGGTACTTACCTCAAATATACAATACAATTGATGTTGAAGGTCAATGTGTGATTTCCGCAGATGGCAGGGTAAAATATCCAGTCATTTCATTGTTAAAATACCTGGGCTTATTATTACATTAGAAAAGCTTGGTAAACAACAAGTCTTTGCTATACTAATTGTTATTGAACTAATTAAAGAGTCTTTACATCTAATTTTTAAAGTAATTGTTTTATTGCAATTATGATAAAATACTATATAATGTATTAGTGAAATAATTAATTCTATTCAAATAATTGTTTAGACTGTGGGTATTGTTACACCACACTTTGCAATAAATTTGAATAGGGACTTTGTTACAATGATGTTTAAATACACTATTAAATATTTTCAATAAATATGATCAGTGTGGCCAGCTTTACACCAACTTCCAAAGGTGATAGTTAGTGTGGGGCCGATTCCAACCGGCACCCTAACCTTTTAAAGATCACCATTAATTTAATACCAATATTAAGGCCCCATTAAAAAAGAAATATTAGTTTATCACCCCCTGCCTCATTGTTTTTGGGGAAATTCTGATATTTTTTTTTTTCAATCAACATATATTTTTTATTTCAAACGGTAATTTTTCCATCTTTTCCCACTTGAAAAGCTCAGGATTTCTTGCAAATATGTTTATTGGTACAGTACAACAAAAACATGTTTTTTGAATATAAATTTGATTTTCTCCCTCATCAGTTTTTATTCTTTGATAGGGTGATAAACTAATAATTTTTTTATGGGCCTAATAATTTAATTTGTTTTTGAATAATGTAAGAATAATACTCTGAATTCTTTCTTGTAGGAACTATCGACATATTGGCTATCGCTGCTTCATTTGGTGGGTGTATAACAGGCTGAAAAAACGTGACAGAAGGGTCATTCCATCATGCTGTGTGTGGGCCATTAGAGACCAATTCCCATCAGTTGATGGAGACTACACTGGGTTTATTGATGCTGTAGCAGATAATGAAATGGACTTTGTGTTTGAATAATTACGTGTCATGTGGAAGAATTATTATAAGTTGTTATGCAACAGATCTTTTCCAATCGATTCATTCTTAAAAATTTAGGCAACGTCTGTTATCTCTTTTTCTGCAAAAGTTGCCCTTGTCACTCATGTTAACAAAGGAAATTTGTTCAGCATAGACCTATATCTTTCATATCTGTACCCTGTCAATTGTGTGTAACATTCAAAGCTTAGGCTGTGTATATTGAAATTTGTTGTTGCTCTTGATACAGATTGAAAATTCTGTTGTAACATGGTGGTATAAAGTTTGTTATGGTTGCAATGTACAGTATGTTCAAATGCATTTTGCCTCTGTCTTCCTCGCTCTCGTCTTATAATTGAGGCTACTAGTGTAACTTTTTATTGCCCATTCTTTACATTGGTGTAAAGTTATACATTAAATATTTTGATAAGAGTATTTTAACTGTAGTGATATACTGTAATACCTGACTGCTTTAGTGCTGCTCATTTCATTTTCTGTGTATAGTAAAATAAATACTGTATATATTTTAGAGAAAATATACTTGAAATAAATTGTTCACAATGTACAAATATGTAAAATTTGGGTTTTAAAATGTTTATTTACTGTGGTAACACCTGTATTCTTGAAGTTTAATTTACAGTAATAATCGTACCAAGTCAAGCACCTAAAATAGGGATGTTGAATACAGTATCATCATGGAAGAACTCTGATAATTTTTTAACTCTGAAGCTATATTTTAATATGAAGTCTTTGACTTGTTGGCAAATCTTTTGATACAACAGTAGAAAATAATTAACACTTGAAAATTATTTTATTTGTGGATTAAAACCTCATAAAAAGTTGAATCCAAAATGGCATTGGTAAATTGTTTAACTTGATTTGGATTACAGATTATTATTTGACAAAAAACACAACTGGCATGTGAAATAAGATTGACTTAAAAATTATCCAAATCAGGCAAGTTTACTACAGAATGCTATTACCATATACAAATATTCTACACAGCTACTAGTAATTATGGTAAATTATTATGTGTTCAAGACATTAGTACATAATAAATAAATCAGTACAGTATATAGCATACTGTATATTTAAATTTGCAAAATACTGGGAAAAAAATTGGTATACAAAAGAATTTAAGTTTTGTTTTAAATTGCAATACTACATTGAACAGCAAAAGTTTAAAAGCATGCAGACAATATATTATAGGCATAAACCAGGCATTATAAAATAACCAAATTCACAGAATTTACATATAATGTATACCAAATGCAGATTGTTTTTTCTCTATACAGTAATGTACACAAGTCCAAACTATATACAAAATACTAAATATAAGAACTACTGCAAAAAAGAAAGTTATGTTATTGTATTCATCGAAAAATATTTCTCTTTAATTCATCTTTGTTTTAACAGTACAAGCTTAAACATTTTATGAAGTAGGTTTTTTGGTTTAAAAAACCTACTCTACACAACCTCATCCCATATTTTCCAATTTTTAAAAAAACGTTTTTTATTTACATATATTTTTTTTATTCATTTATTACCCAATTATGTGTTTCTTTGTTTCATCTTCGAAAACAATACAAGTTTGACAATAAAGCTAAAAGCAAAAAAAAAAAAAAATCCTGTATCCAGTAAGGAAGCTAAATCTACAAACAGAAAATTCTGAATATATGTATGGTTTTTTGTAATACTGTTGATTATACTGTAAAAGGAATTATGACCACAACATGAAGCAATTGTCAATCATTGTGCATTGATCGCAATATAGAAAACATGTCTTAATACTCCTGTTATGCACATTGCCATCGCAGACAGATTGACAATACAGTTTCAGTTTATTTATTAGACCAACAAGGTCGTGGGAAGTTTAAGCAAACAAGTCAGCTTTTTCAAGTCAGCTGCCCATAACTGTGGTCACACCACATTTTAAAATGACTGTTACACTATAATGCTTATGATCACACATAATTTTGTCTAGATTTTTCGAAACAGAACACTAGCCTTCATTTCATTCTGGACATGTGCCCAGCTACTGCTTCTTCCTTTGAAGGCTTCTCTCCCCTCTTAGATTTCTTGTGTTCTTCTATCAACCTGGTACTCTCAGGGTCAAGGAGTGTCGATCTGCTCTTGTCACCTGTAAATAAAAAAAAAGTGGCAATGCAATGAGTTACTTTTTTATTAGAAAAATGAAAAAGGAAATGAAAGACTTAGATTTTAGCATTTTAATATAATAAAGTTGGAAGAATTAAACAATTAAAAAAATCTTCATATCAGCTAGGAAAGTGTTATTACAATAGAGCCATAAAATCAACTGGCTTCCATACTGTAATTGTTGTTTCTTAGTGTGAGCCTAGTAAACTGTTGTCAGCAGTTCCTCATCATGAATACATTTGTGGTTGTCTGATGAGGAAACGTTTATGGCAGTTAGAAACATCACAGATATCTTACCATTAACTGCTCTCTCAAATACTCCGATCATTAATTGTTCCCGAAAGGAGTAATCTTTTGCCTCTTTGATCCTTTTAACAACGAACTGCTTTGATCTTTTAGACCACTCCAGCTTGTACTGCTTTCCTCCATCTGACAATGTGCCGTGTTCACGATGGACATTGAGGTTGTGATCAATAACTGCCAGCATGCCTCTAGCAATCATACATTCATGGCCAAACCTGGATCTCTTTGGCATGTACTTTAGGAGCATGCTATGAAACACCTCCAGATTTCCAGTATGGCAGAATTCAACAGCCTGAAAAAAAAAAAACAAAACCAAAAAAACAAGTTGTTAACTAGGGGAGGTAGTGATAAAAAAAACTAATATTATTAAGGGTAATGTACCCAGTGCGAGACATTTTCTTAGAGTACTTCAAGAAATAAACAGTTCTGCTTGACTCTCGTTAACTTTCCTTAAATTTCTGATATAAGTCACTGCAGCTCTACAAAAAAAATGTTAAACAAACAGTGCAAATTGTTAACTCACATGTTCCAAGTCTTTCAGTAATTTGTTTTCTGCCACAATCACTTGCAGAGCTCTGTGAGCATCGCTGCCCTCTGTTAACCAAAGCTTCGACATGTCCACTTCATCATGCTCACACTGATGGAATTCTTCACAGCAAATCCATTTGTGCCTATCAACAATATGTCTTAATATGGACGTCCATCTCTCCTATGGAGGAATAAATATAGTTACAATTAGGCAGATCAGATTTGTTAAAAAGCCAACCACCCATCTTCAAGGTCTTCCAACCAGTCTACAGATTATTTCAAGGGTTCCCACCAGCCTATAAAACTTAATACCCATCATAGAATCAGCTGAATACCTTCAAAGTATTAACTGTTTTGCAACCACTCTTGAATTGTTGTGTCTATATCCATGACATTAGCAGATTTATCAATCACACAATTACCATACTAAGTCATGCTACTGAAAAAACATTCATCTTAAAAACCTTTTCAATTTGCAGTATTTTTTGTAAGTGCTAAAATATTTGATAAATATATGTGTTAAAATATTTGATTCATTCCTGTCTATTAATTTGTAATGTATTTTATATTATTACAAAATAATGTTAGTACGAAACTCAAACACAGGTTAACGTTTCTTGATAAAACACCAATGCTTTCTGCAAAACTTACAGCAAACACTTTTACAATATCAATAAATCTGCAACTTGTAATCTGAACAACAATGAGATATAAAAATATTTACAAAATTTCTTATTACTCACTTTAAACTGCGTGTAGCTTCCGTTACACGTTTCAGCAGACCACCAAAAGTGATTTATGATGGCTTTCTGCCAAGGTCTTATTTCTTGATGCTTGCCGCATGCTTTTACCAACTTTTTTCGAATGCTTTTGGCAAGATGCCAGATGTCATACTCGTGTCGAACGTCAGAGTACTTTTCTCTCATCGTTTTGGCGATTGAGGAATGCCTGTCTGTGACCAGAGTGTCGATGTGTATCTTGCAGTCCTACAAAAAAATATATAAAATTATATTTAATTTTTAATTCTACATTCCACAATCACATTTTATATTTTGTTTAAAAATTGATATTTGTACACCAAAATCTGTACAGTTTTAATGACCTTGACTTTCATAATTCACCATTGACTTTGAGAAATTATTGGAACTTTTCATTCAATGTCAGGTATCATCTAGCCAAATACTGTAGTACCAGGAGCAGTTGACATTTGACCTTAAACATTTACCAGCATCTAAGGTATACATGAAGACATGCTTATGGTAACAAATTCATGATGATTGGAGTAAAACTGTAGTGAGGAGGCAGCTCATATTCATTTAAGCAAATTTTTGAAAAAATATTAAAGGTAATTCTCTTAGCAACAAATTGTGACAAATAGTTAGGAACTCCATTTAAATAAATTTAGCACCCTGCATTTTTAAAAATATCATTAATATTGTGTACAAATTGTTTGTTGTAGAAAAACAAATAACTAACCTTCAGCTCTTTCAAGCATCTTTTAAGTCCTTCATTCTCCAGCCAATATGAATTTGGCACGTCCTTCTCGCCAACAGCCACTGTCTTAGACGATATTATGACATCATTTATTGTGTCCATAATAGTGTACAGACCAAACTCTGCCGAGTGCCCAGGAGAGTCGTGTCTTGCATCACCTGCAACAGTTACTTTTGTTGGCAAATATTCATAAGCTTAAAAAAAAACAAAAAAACATTGTTTTGTATAAAACTAATTACAAATTTAACAATTTAGGTGACAATAAATATAAACACAAATTGTGAAATAACTTTTTAGAAACCAAAATAAATATATCAAATAAAGCCCAATAAAAAAAAAGTTATTTTCACAGCTTCTTCACTTCTATGGCTTATTTTTGGTCAATTCAGATTTTTTTTACATTATATTTTTTTAATGGTAAAAACAAAGTAGGTTGTGTGTGTATAATGTCAGTCATGCAATTTCTTTTGAAACTAGCAGACCAACAAATAACCAAAGGGTGATATTTGACTTAAAAAACACAAAACAGTAAAATAAAAGGTCTCTTTTGCATCACTTCTTTTTATAAAAATAAAGCTATTTTCTGTTGGGGCAATTAATAACCATTGAAGTATGAATCATGGTTATTAATGTTAAATTTCAGCAAAATATAATCTTCCCTTGTGCTAACTTACCTTTGTGTATATCCTCTATATGGGCATTATACATCTTTTGGATATTTGGTAGCAAGATATCTCTTTGTATTTCATAGAAAGATGATTTTTTTATCGTGGCTAAATTTATGACATTACACATCTCATTAAGCGTTGTTTGTGTATTCCCAGTCAAGAGTGTTGCTGCAGCTAATGCAACGTTTCCAGCTGGGCGACTTTTAGGCCCACAACAGCGTGGTTGCGAAGACCATTTGAAACAATGACCTTTCATACATGTACCAGTAATGGTTAACATGCTTCCAACTTGAATCACTTGCTTTTCCTCTATTGCCAAGGCACACCCAACTTCCTGACAGCGTACAAGGCTCATAAGCTCTTCTTCAAATACCATGTATTTCTTTGATTCAACCAGTTGTTGCACGAACTAAAAAAAAAAATTAATAATATTATTTATATATAATACAAGCCATAGAATGTTGCCCTACATTGGAACCTAGATTTTACATACCTCAATTTTATGTATGACTTCAAACTCTTTTTGATCATTGTATTTAACTGACTCGTAAAGATAGATTCAAACATTTTATTTAGCCAAAAATCAAGAATAAAGATGATAATAGTGAAGAAATGTTAAAAAATGACCTTCATTTTAATCAACCCCCGATATACTGTACATAATCATTTTAGTCTTATACCGTATTTAAAATTTTGGTTCTATTGTACTGACTTGTTCTAATCTATCTTGTCCTAACAACAGTGACGTATCCCTGTCTCTTATACACATCTCAGTTTTAATGACCTTGACTTTCATAATTCACCATTGACTTTGAGAAATTATTGGAACTTTTCATTCAATGTCAGGTATCATCTAGCCAAATACTGTAGTACCAGGAGCAGTTGACATTTGACCTTAAACATTTACCAGCATCGTTATCCTGAAATTGATACATTTTAAATTAAAAAAATGAAACTATATAAACAGGTAAATATTTCAACTACTGCAGTCCAATAATTTACCACAGTGAGTAAAATATAGTAAATAATAAACAGATGGATATAATATAGAAATCCTTAATCAAAATAAATAAATAAATTGTTTAAACACAAAGTTATTTAATTTAGGATTGTTTTAGGACAAGCAAATGGTTGATTGAATCTACAGTACTTGGACCATAAAATAACTTAAAACAAGGTCATCAATGTTCACATAACTGGCTGGCTTGAGAGTAAAGATTTGGTAAGTTATTTGTTTATCCAGGTTCATCTAGTAAATCTGGACCCTCACACAAAAATGCTCAAGTGTTAAAATAATTATAACTTTTAAGTCCTTGAGTGTATGACCTAGAAGGTTGTACAAACAGTTGCCAGTGTCAACTTTCACTGTTTGTGAGCCATGTCCAGTTATAATGGTTCTACTACTGCCAGCAATGATGGAGGTATAAAATACCTCTTATTGTTCTACATATTTATCATTACTTTATTTTATGTTTTTTAATTGGTCAAAATTATCTGCCTTTGTAAACAAATTTTTGTACAAATGTTTTAGAAAAGAAACAATGAAATGTAACTGTTAAAGTAAATAAATGAATTACAGAGGTAGGTCTGTTGAACAGTGACATTATAACAAACAAAGAATCTAACTTACATTACCATCCTCATCTTCAGCAGAGCTGCTGCTGCTAGAGCCAATTACAAAAGATAAATCTTTACCACCTATTACAGTACTTTGACTTTCTTTTGATGTGTCCAGATCATCAAAGGGAGTATGCAATCTTGCTCGCTTTAATGTTGAAGGCAAATTTACATCGTCCTCCTCCAGCCTGGGCAACTTTGTAGGTGTTGATGTACTAATTGGTTCGAATAATAAACCTGAAGAAGCTGATGGCTGTGAATATTAATGATATATAAAATTAAAGAATTTATAGCGTTTTTAACAGGGTATGATATTGTTAGTAGGTGTACAGTAATAGGCCCTAGAGAGGATTTTTAAATATTACTTAGGTTCTTATCATAGCCTGGGCTAGGCCTACTCCTAGGCCAGGGCCTCAGATAGCNNNCCCCCCCCCCCCCCCCCCAGGTATGTTTTTTTTTTTTCAATATAAGAAGGCCTAATTGGTGGCCTAGGCCTAGCCCTAGGCCGTAAAAATTTATGTCAAATGGCAAATGTTATTTATAATTCTAAATCATATCGTGTTTTTCTTTACCCTATCTCAATAAGGGTCCAAAATGGACGAAACGATCCGGGCCTGGGCCGCCCTATGCTAGGCCTAGTCTATCTGTGTGTGCCTGAACTACCTACCTCACTCTCATCAGTTTGCATAGCTGTAGTGGTGGTGGTGGAACCAGATCTATCCTTGCTTTTCTTGTAAGCTTCGGACTGGGCATATCCATCTGTTAAATGGAGGGTAGGAATTGCGTCGTCTTTTAAAGTCATTAGCCCTTTGTTTCCGTACGGCTTAAAACAGGACGCCTCAAAATGAAGGGAACAGACAGCAGAATGTTCGTTGACTGGAGGATTTTCCAGTTTTAGAGCTTGAAGCCATTTTTTCAGTATTTCTGTTTCTTGTTTTTTAAGAGGTAGCCGATGATATGTCACGTCCTTGTTGTTTTTGCGCGTGTTGTGACATCCAAACACCATACACCGGTTTGGCATGATTGTTAGAAATTATGAACATTAATTTTCCAAACCAACTTGGGCAATGAATACGATGCAATCACGACGATTTTAACCCTCGCTCTGTAAGTTATCTCCAAAACTCGCGGCCTTCACATCATCTTCGCTTGAGGATTATCGTCGTCGCGACAATTGCTCTTACTCCTTCAATGTTGACAAGGCTCTTCATGAATATTAATGACTGCCTACAAATTGCTACCAAGCTACTGAAAAAAGTGACAAGCCTCGTTTTCGCTTGATTTTGATTTCAAATATCCGATATTTTGTTTCTGTAATTATCGTTACATCTCGTCATTTTTAATTTTTTTAAGTATTTTTCCCAAACTTTGCAAAGGTTAAATAAGCGATATAAGCCAACTTGTCTCATCCCCGCACCCCCCCTTTAAGGTACATAATTTTAATTCCGTCTATCCCCATCTCCCACAATATCCTCTCGATAACCCTT